AAAAAAGTAAAGTATCTCATTAATAATTTTATAGATTACATGTTTTGGCTATATTGGCTTAAACAAAATACATTATTAAAATTAATCCTTTTTTTTAACCGTTTTAAATGTGGCCCTAGAAAATTTTAACTTAGATATGTGGTTGCTATTGAATAGCACTGTTCTAGGAGCACTACTGGACCTTCCCTTACATATCCTCTCCATTTGATTATAAACTCCCTAGGGTAGGAACATGAGACCAGCCCTGGACATCAACCAAGAAGGGAACACCCTGATAGCTGAGTTTATCCCTCAACTTCTCACTGTACTATAAATTTGCTTCTCCGGTTCCCTCCATCCCAGCATAACCCCCCCCACATACACACACACCAGAGTGGAGCAGACCTGAGCACAGGACCTTGTCTTATGCATCTTTCTATCCTCAGTGCCCAGCACATGAATATCTGATGTGTTGATGCTCTAAGTAGATCATTCATAGCTCCTTCCACTTACAATATGTCTGGGTCACTGTACACATTTCAAAGTTACCACATGCTTTCTCAGTTACATGTTCATCCAGAAGGTTGTCCTTCAGCATACCTAATACTAGCCACATGGGCTCAATCAATATCAGTGACACAATGCTACTAGCCTAGTGTATACTAAGTGTGCTCATGCTCATGGAGGGGGAGAAGCAGACTCCCTGCTGAGCAGGGAGCCTGCTGCAGGGCTCAATCCCAGGTACCTGGGATCATGACTTGAACTGAAGGCAGACACTTAATCAACCAAGGCACCCAGGTGCCCCTTCCTTAATTCTTTTACTGAGTCTATTTTTCAAATGTGTGTTTCTCAATATATAAGAAGATAGAAGTCGTCATCAACCTTTTATTCTTCCAAATCAGGGAATATGTAAATCTGACATTTCCTTTATAGCAGAAAGTTGTGAGCACATGTGTATACACATTTATGAATTGTGTATGATATGTATGTAAACACGTACACTGCATTTCAAGTTTTAGTATGGGGCATAGCAGAGCAACATGGGGCAAATAGGCTTATAAAGAAAAATGTGGAAGAATAACTCAAAATTGATTATAATGAATTATTTTATGATGAAGGCACAAGTTCTGGGATGATCTTTGCAAGATGGATCTAAAATTTTTGAGTCAATTTCAGGTTTGCAGCCATTTTCTTTTCTGACTTTATTCTTTCCTCACCAAGAGAGCTGGTTCATTCCAAAAGGTAAATTTTATGATGGTAAGTTTACCTTGGAGATTATCACCTGTGTATATAAATATCTTAGTACAGTTTTAAAGACTTATTTATTTGAGAGAGAAGGAGAGAGATCATGGGGGGAGAGGGAGAGAGAGTCTCATGACCCTGAGATCACGACCTGAGCTCAAACCAAGAGTTGTCCACTTAACCGACTGCGCCACCCAAGCGCCCCTCTAAGGACTATTTTAAAACTCCCAAGCTATCAAATAATATGCAAACTACTTGCTAAATCCATTTTGACAGAGCTGTAAAGAGGACAGAGTCCTTAAAGACTTCTTACAGTTCTACCAAAAGATTTCATTCAAGTGTCCACATTAAGCATGTGGGCTAAAGGGGCGCCTGGGTGGCTCCATTGGTTGAGCAACTGCCTTCGGCTCAGGTCATGATCCTGGAGTCCCAGGATTGAGTCCCGCATTAGGCTCCCTGCTCAGCAGGGAATCTGCTTCTCCCTCTGACTTTCCCCCTCTTGTGCTCTCTCTCTCTCTCTCTTTCTCTCTCTCTCATTCTCTCCTTCTCAAATAAATAAATAAAATCTTTTAAAAAAAAAAAAAAGAATGTGAGCTAAAATTTCTGGAATACTACAATGCAAAACGTTGGAGACAAAATCCAATCATGGTAGTGAAGCAGGTTAAGGATAGTGGCTTTAACATGAGAGCATGGCAGGCCAGAATAATTGGTTTCCATTTTAATCTATGGCTAGCTGATCACTGCTTCCAGGGCCAATTTTGCGGTCTGGTATTTTCATGTTGACAATGCTAAGACCCTATGTTGGTGTCAGTCTAGGGTGTTGGGGCAGAGGATGAATTAGAGATTAAAACCCGGCCTCTGGCTGAATGTCACACTTATTATGTCCAATAAACATAACTGGTAACTGAACATACACCACAGTAAATACTGTGCTTTTAAAAAGCCACCAGGTAAATCTTTAATAAAGCCTCCAATGACTTAGGAACAAAATTAGTGCTGCAATAGGAAAAAATGAATTATTGTTACAGATCAAATTGCCCAGAAACCTCATATGTCAACATTAATGTCAGTTCCTCAGAACCAATATATTGCTCCTTAATTACTCCGGGCTTCCAAAACCTGTAGTCCTCCTGGCAGCTCATGTCACAGAGACGCATTGATTTTGAAACAGTGTGTGTAGCTCCCAGCCTCTCCCCTCTATCAACAAAAGACTTGGCTATAAAACCCTGTTATATTTTGCCCTGGGCAGCAATTATTAAGTATCCCTCAACATATGTGTCAAACACATAAGAAATTGCTCCAGGCTTTTCATTGCTTAAAAAAGTAGAAAACACCAAAAAAAAAAAAAAAAGTAGAAAACACCAAACAAAGGAGGCCTTTGTGGAACATGAGGCATCAAAAATATTAGCAGCGTTATGAGAGCTGAATGGTAGCAACTTGTTTTTAGGAAAAAAATAGGAATGAACCAGGTCTCCACTGACACCTAGGAAGTCCTCAGAAAGGTGTAAAGCCCCTGGTTACAAGACAAGGAACACAGCACAGGAACAAAACACCAAACTGTCCAAAGGCTCTACTATGTGCACTGGGTATTGTCGCGAGTCAACCTTGTTGCAGTGATGGTGTTTCTCTGCCTTCGCTTTCCAAAATCAGGTTAAATGAGGCTCCTCATGGTAAGGTTGTTTCCTCCTGACCCTCTGACGCCCAAGTGGGATTATCTAAGGATTTATTACCTTATCATATCCTAGCATCCCAACTCAACAGTTAATATATAACCTGGACCCCAGAGCTGGATGGCTGACTTAACTCATCCAAGTCTTTATCTTCAGGGCCCCTCAGGTCTCCATGTTCTACTCTCCCATCCCACACTCATTCATCTTTCTTATCTATGCACGTTAAAATTAAAATTAAAATTAAGGGGCATCTCGGTGGTTCAGTCAGACAGCTGACTCTTGATTTTGGCTCGGGTCATGATCTCAGGGTCCTGGGGATCTTGGGGGAATTCCCTCTCCCTCTCTGTCCGCCCCCTCCTCCCTCTTAAAAAAAAAAATAAATCTTTTTTTAAAATTACAGTTAAAATTAAAATCAATGTCAGTATTTCCTCTGCTAGAGGCATTCCTTGAGAGCAGTATCTGACTAATTGATCGTTGCTTCTCGGGCTGTTTTTGCTATATGGTGCTTCCATTTTGACGATGCTAAGACCCTATGCTTATGGAGGCTGGGGTGGGGGAGATCTGAATTAGAGATTAAAAACATGACTTCTAGTCAAATGTCATATTTATTACATTCAACAAACGTAACTGGAGATTGAATACACAGTTCATTTATTCAACAAAGAATAAATGATTTGATTAATTTTTTTTTAATTTTTAAAAGCCAGTGTTGGTGTTTTGCCAACTGCCTAATTCACAAAATGTTGCTCTTTATAGACATTTTCCTAAAGCCTGTTTACAACTCCTCCTTCCAAAATATATGTTGCAAAAACTCACTCTTTCTCAACCTGCCTCTCTTGGTCTCTCTTTCTCTATTTCTCTCTCTCTCCCTCATTTCAAGTTCTAGCCTAATTCCCTACAACATATTTTCATTATAAGCATCTAATCAACAATCTGCTTTCTATAGTTTTTTCTAACTTATATGTGTGCACATTAAAAAGTAATGACATACCCAACCAAGCTGAAATGTGAACACATATGCTGTTTGCGCTCCACAAGACTAATTAATAATACATCTCCTCATCTGGCTTGATGTACTCATATATACTATGCCTTGTTTGAGGAATATTCTGGGGCCAGTGATCACTGCCACACCGTAGAACATCTACTTCATTCTATTAGGAGCAAATGGAGGAAGATATTGAAAGAGCAGGATTTTAGCCCCAGGGTGGAAATTAGAAGATATGGCCATATTATTGGCCTTTTAAGTAGTAATACAATCAGTGAGAGTTGCGTTTTGTTTTTTGTTTTTTGGGTTTTTTTTATCAGGGTGCTGTTTGCAAGGCAGCTTTCCTGGGTCAGGCAAATTTACTGAAAACCAATTTAGAGAGCAAACATTATGCTGATTAATTTGACCAACTTTCTATATTTGTATTGTTGCTATAGGCAACAGATGCCCCAACAATTAATCTATGAACACCCCAGCTCTTTTGTTTATAAAATGAGAAACATGACCTACACAATTTTCAAGGTCTCTTCCAGACATGAGATCCTACAGTTCTTTGTATTTAAAAATAAGCACCATGAAATACATACATACATACATACATACATACATACATAACATGAAAAATAACACAGTGAGTAACTGCCACTTACTTGTTTTCAAAAATACTAAGTTTAGGTTGTTCAAATAACATGAAAAGACATCATAAAACTGAACCACTGATCACTTCTTCCCTTAAAGTCCAAAAGATTCAATGCTAATTGGTTGTTACCCTTCAGTTGCTAAGTCTAGGTCAGACTTTGGATCCTTCACAAATTGCACTTAAGTACCATAACTACTACATTTTTAATTTATTGAAATGAATGAAATGTTCAGTTGCCTGGCAATGTGGCAGTACTCTGTACATTCTAGAGTACATTCTAAAGAATGGAAAGGAAATGGAATGGAAAGGAAAAACCTTAGGGCAGCAAGGAGGCCCATGCAAGGCAGGGCTCCTCCCCATCAATGTGATCTATCAGTGCAGAGATTTGACTCTGGAGTTCCCAAAAGACCAAGTGAACTAGAGTTATGGTGGTAATTTGTATATGAGGGATAACGTGAGAACAAAGTGGAAGAAAGCTTACCTACTACTTCATTGTACACCGCCAACCCAGTTCTTCCAGACTGGAGCATTCAACAGTCATCTTCATAGAGGTCTTCTCCATGTACATCTGATAGTGCAGACACCACAAACTTGGCATGTCTACAGATGAATACATCATGTATTCCTTTGCAATACCCCTCCCCGGACTATGTCCCAGCCCTGCCTCAGTGCACCCGCTCAGTAAAGGGCACGATTATCATGGCCCAGTCACCCAAGTCAGAACCCTGAGAGTCATCCTTATCTCCTCCCCACATCCACACCCATTCATTCAACAAAGAATTCAGGACCAGAGTGTATGCATGTGTATCCCAGACAGGCATGCACTGGAGAGCTGAACAGGATGACCAACTGTCTTGGTTTGCCTGGGACTGTCCTTATTTCAACACTCAAAATCTCACATCCCAGAAAACCTCTCAGTCTCAGGCAAACAAAGAGAGCTGGGCACCCTAGAAAGGAAGGAGTCTGGGTACACAAAGATGTCTTCCTGGAAGGAATGACACCCATGCAAAGGCATGGAGTGGAGGGGTATCAGTGGCTTGTGTTACTGAACTGCAGAGTTGGAGGACAGAGAGTGTGAAGGGGATTCTGGAAAGGTAGGCAGGGGTTAGATCTTAGAGAGCTATGTATTGGATTTGACCACATAAGCGCCAGGAATTTTTCAGAGAAGTCAAACAACCAGGTTTGCATTTGTAGGTAGGCATTTTGAGATAGACCTCTACATTTATGAACCATTGATGGCTAGAAGCAGGAGTTAAGAGGTTATTTTAAAATTGTCATTAAGTTCTTAACTGTGATTCTAAGAATAGGAACTAGAATTTGCCTGGATGAAAAATTATTCTGTTTTGGGAGGAATTTGGTTGGGCCTTCTCTTAGTCAAGCTAATATAAAATAAGTACCTACTTGCTATCCTTAGTATAACATCAAACCTTGGTGAAATAATCCAGACATGAGGCCAGTTGTAGGAAGAGGGCATTCAGCCTATGGCTTCCCATTCAGAGACTTTAGAGGTTACGTTCAAATGTGGTGATATCTGGTTTCAGTGATCACCTCCAGCACTGAAAGAACTTCAGTTCATCTCACCAGTTAAAACTGTCCCAGCACTGGATCACACAGCCTACAATGCATGAGAATAAGCGAGCATTTTTTATAAATCTTGTATTGACACGAACAAACTATATTTTTTGTGTTGAAAATGCTAATGTGTAGGAAATAAAAATAAACATGGTAATTTTCGCTACCCTATTTTGGATTTTTTTTTCATTTCTTTAATATATCAGGAGACTTCAAAAAATGTCAATGGTCCAGATGCCCCTCAAACTCTAAGAGGACTTGCAAAGGGGTGTGGGCTTGCAATCTACCACACGATCTGTATGTATATCCCTTAATCATACATGATTTAGTTCTGCCTGTTTTTGTGACTTATATCAATTGATTGACCTGAAAACATTATTTTGTGTCCTTGTTTTCATTAGACATGCGTTTTAGATCCATCCATGTGAAGGATGTACTTTGTCCATTTCAGACTGCTGCATTGTATACCATTGTGTGAATATCTGTCAATGTATTTATTCATTCTACAGCTGATGAACATTAGGGCTGTTTCAAGAGTGTGTGTGTGTGTGTGTGTGTGTGTGTGTGTGTGTTAGTATTATGAATAATGCTTCTGTTAATATTCTTGTATGACTGTCTCTGGAAGATGTACCTAGGAATGAAATTACTGGATGACAGGCATATTCACGCTCACTGCTCTGAGATCAGATCAAACTGTTTTCCAAAGTAACTGTATCTATTTACACAGTGATTACTAGTGGATAAGAATTCCCCTTATCCATCCTTCTAATTTATTCCAGTTGGCAGGTGTGACATACGCTATTCAGCTTTCCTCTTCTGGGCATCCATTCATATTTTTGCCCACTTTCTCACTGGGTTGTTTTTTCTCTTTCTTATTTTTTTGTAGGTATTCCTTGCATATTCTGGAAACTAATTCCTTGTTGGTTACATGTATTATAACTGCTCGCCCTTTGGGGCTCTTCCTATTATAACTGTCAAGTCCTTTAATGAGCAAAAATTGTTAAATTAATATCATTGTTCCCATTTTTTGTGTCTTGTTTAAGAAATATTCCTTTACCCTATTCTGTATTTTTGTCTAAATATTGTATAATTTTTACCTTTCACATTTATATCTTTAATGAATCTGGAACTTACTTTTGTATATGTAATTTTGTCTGAGAGAATTACAATTCCCATTTTTTAAATATGGAACTACTTTATTCCTTTCCACATCATTTCACTTGTAACCATTTCATTAAGTACACCAGGTTTTAAACACAGAGGCCATGTTTTTCTCTGAATTAGCTTTGTATGGTATCTAGAGCCACAATGCTCAAAAACACCCACAGTTACTACATACCATCCTCCTCAACCAATGAGAGCAATACACCCTACCTGAGAAGTCTGGGCAAGACAGCCTCACACCCCACCAGAGACTGCAGATTCTGTATATATCACATCCGGGCTGCGGTACTTTGTCCCTGATGGGGGAAAAAAAATTGAAAATCCTCTGGCTATGTAGTGCTTATAATAACTTTCCAAATGACTGGCTATACTTAATATTAATCATTAACACCCTCAGCAGAGTCTGTCTCAGAGGTCAAAATGTATCTCCTCTTAGTATAACAAAGTGGAGATCTAATAAATATTTATTTATAGGTGTTGTCATCCAACAGTCTGGAATAGCAGGAGCTCTAACTTCTAAATAACTTGTGTATGAACAAGAGTCATCTGGTCCTCTGGTATAATTCAGAAAAATTAATTGCTATGAAATATCAGCCTGGTTTTCTCTGGCCACATTACAAGTTATAATAATCTACTAGAGCATAAAACTCAATGTGGCAGAGGAGCTGGAAAATTCTCCTGCCCTGAAATAAATGTGGAAATCTTCACAACAAAAATTTTTCTAGATTGGATAACTGAACCCCATAATAACAGAATTGTGAATCATTACGTTGTACACCTGAAACTAGTATAACACTCTATGTCAATTATACTTTAATTAAAAATAATAATAGCCCGATAAGCCCCTGGAAACGAGCGTTGGAAATCCCTTTTACGAAGATGGAGCCGAAAGCTAAGAAGGAAGCCCCTGCCCCTCCCAAAGCCGAAGCCAAAGCAAAGGCTTTGAAGGCCAAGAAAGCGGTGCTGAAAGGCGTCCACAGTCACAAAAAAAAAGAAGATCCGCACATCACCTACGTTCCGATGACCCAAGACTCTGCGTCTCCCAAGGCAGCCCAAATACCCTCAAAAGAGCGCCCCCAGGAGAAACAAGCTTGATCACTATGCCATCATCAGGTTCCCCCTGACTACTGAGTCAGCCATGAAGAAAATAGAAGACAACA